TTTTTGAGACAGTGTCTCGTTCTGTCACCCAGGCTGGAGTGCAGTGGTACAATCATAGTTCACTGCGGCCTCGATGTCTTAGGCTCTAACACCTGAGTAGCTGGGACTACAGGTGTGCATCACCACACCTGGCTAATTTGTTGTTGTTGTTGTTGTAGAGATAGAGTCTCATTATGTTGCCCAGGCTGGTCTTGAACTCCTGAGCTCAAGTGATCCTCTTGTCTCAGCCTCCCATGGTGCTGGGATTACAGGCGTGAGCCACTGTGCCTGGCCCATGCATTTTTGACTTTGATTATTTGAAAACATCAATCTCACTTTTTCATTGATTCACCCAACATTTATTGAGGATCTACTGGATGTCAGTTTCTCCTCCTCTAACCTACAAATAGATAACATAAAAATAAGCACTGAGTGGATGTGTTTTAGATCTTTACAACTGATTGTATATTTTCTATCATTATTATTATTACTTTGATACATTTTATTTTTCTTTTAATTTAATTTTGTTAAAATATAGATAGGGTTTCACTATATTGCCCAGACTGGTCTCAAACTCCTGAGCTCAAGTGATCCTCCTGCCTCAGCCTCTCAAAGTGTTAGGATTACGGGCATGAGCCATTGTGCCCAGCCTATTTTCTATTATTGGTATGTGGTGATTTAAGTTTTTGAAAGGAGTTTTGTGTGTCTTATACTGCAATAGGTTATAAAAAACATAGGAAAGCAAAGGAAATGGTCTCTGAGCTTCTAGTTTTGTTAATTTTGTTAGTCAGTTTGTTTTTCTGGGGCCAAGATCTCTGTCCCCCTAGGCTGGATTGCAGTGGAGCTCAGGTGATCCTCCCACCATAGCCTCAACCTCCAAATAACTGGGACCACAGTCATGCACCACCACCTCTGGCTACTTTTTAAATTATTTGTAGAAATGAGGTCTTACTATGCTGCTCAGGCTGGTTTCCAACTCTTGAGCTCACGCAACCCTCCTCCCTTGGCCTCCCAAATTGCTGGTATTACAGGCAGGAGCCTCTGTGCCTGTTGGTCTTTTTACTATTGAGTTGAGTTCCCTTGTCAGATGAATAGTTTGCAAATATTTTCTCCTATTCAAGAGATTTTCTCTTCACTCTGTTGATTGTTTCCTCTGCTGTGTAGAAGCCTTTTATTTTTATTTTTTGAGATGGAGTCTTACTGTGTTGCCCAGGCTGGAGTGCAATGGAACAATTTCGGCTCACTGCAACCTCTGCCTTCTGGGTGCAAGTAATTCTCCTGCCTCAGCCTCCCAAGTAGCTAGGATTACAGGCATGTGCCACCATGCCCAGCTAATTTTTTGTATTTTTAGTAGAGACGGGGTTTCACCATGTTGACCAGGATGGTCTCGATCTCTTGACCTCGTGATCCACCCGCCTCAGCCTTCCAAAGTGCTGGGATTACAGGCGTGAGCCACCGCGCCTGGCTCATTTTAATTATATTAATTCTTCTGATCCATGAATATGAGATGTCTTTGCATTTGTTTGTGTCCTTTTCAAATTTTAAATGCCACAAAAATAAAAGTTTTTTTTTTTTTTTTAATTTCCTTTTCACTTCCATTTGGTAGGGATCTAACAGTTATCTGATTCAGCCACATATAAATCTGATTATCAGGGTTAGTAGATAAATGTTTTCAATAAGTTAATGGCAAAGAATTATTAAACAGTTTGTTAAATTCTAACAATTGTTTTGAAATAAACATAGAAAAATCTTGGGAAATTCTGACCTCATTTGGTTCCACATTACAATCATGGATTACTTCTTCCAAATGTATTTTTCTCATAGGAAGAGAAAACTGGCCAGAGGCCATCTGAAGCCAAAGAGATAAAACTTTATGCCCAGATTCCCCCCATAGAGAAGATGGATGCATCCTTGTCCACGCTTGCTAATTGCGAGTAAGTTCTCTTTTCATCCTTCCAGTATTGCTATTAGGTATCCCTTTCTTTTCTTAAACACACAAAATAGGAAAATATGTTTGTTTTCTGTGGTCTTCATTTATTTTTTGTTTGCTTACTGTAATTCTCCCTTTGGCAAGGCCAAACATGAAAAATTACTGGTTTATAGGATTATTAATAGAAAAATATTGAACGGTACCATATTTTTAGTGCAATTGTTATAATATGTTTCAAAATATAAATCAAGTATTTTGGGAGAAGCTAAATAACACAATAAACCATATATATATAGAGAAAATATTTTCTCCCATTCAACAGGTTTTGTCTTCTTCACTCTGTTGATTGTTTCCTCTGCTGTGCAGA